GCCATAGATTTTTCAAAAATATAAACAAGTTTTGATATTCATAATTTTTATATAAATAAGTAAAATGCCTAACTGACCCTTCTGACAGGATTTACTAGATATTTATATTATGCATTAATTAACAGGAAAATTGAAGTTCTCCAGAGTCTTACTAGGAACAAATATTTTCTCTGGAAACCCCCCCCCCCCAGAAAAATGCATACAATAAATAATAAAGAGCTTATATTGTTCTTTCAATGATGAAATCATATCTTTAAATATCAATTGATTAAACAAGTCTGGCAGCATATCTCTGTAGTTGTAAAATCAAGAAAATGCATACACTCCATCACTTCATGTTATAATCCAGATCCACAGATGGAGGATAGTTGATTATTTCTGCGGTTTGAACCCCCCCCCCTTTTTAAAAGAAAGTAGCCATAAATACAGTTGAAATTTGAAATTTTTGAAACATTATTTTATAATTCCTCACTTATATTGCATTCATTTGCAGGAATTGATAATTTCTATCCAGAAATAGCTAGGAGGAAGTTCAGTCCTATAAGCCCCCCCCCCCCCCCCCCCCCGGCAAGATTGTTTCCTTTTAAACTCCGATCTTCAACTTTTCTAGTCCAGTGGTTCTAATGAGAAGATTTTGAAAGATTTTTCTAATGTTAATAATGTAAAATTTCATCTCCTATTTTGGCTTCATCCTAGCCCCAGGAGTCATGATTTGAAAATTTAGAAACTACACTTTCTCAGGAATTAGCTTCCACATAAATTTCACCTTTTCTGGCCCAGTGGTTCTTGACAAGACTTTTTATTTACCCCATCCTATTTTTGCCTTTCTTGATTATCTTCCCTTGGAAGCAGGCTTAGCTCTTAATCTGAATCATTTAGAATCCCCTTAACCCAAAAATGCTTTGTACAATCTTTGGTCAAAATTAGTCCAGTGGTTCTGGAGAAGAAGTCGAAAATATGAAAAGTTTACAGATGGAGGGATGGATGCCAGAAAATGGATGATCAGAAAACTTTCAGTTCAGGTAAGCTAAAAAAAAATCATAAAAAGCAAAAGCCATTAGGTATCAAATGTACATGTAATATTTAAATAAAGAGTTGTGATTGTGATACTACTTGAAAAATAATATAAAAAATCCGTACTAACTCCTTGGTAGTTTTATGCAGTTATAGTGATCTGCCCTTTGATTTAAATTCTAAACAAGAGGCCCATGGGCCACATCGCTCACCTGAGTAACTTTGGCCATGCTGTCCTTACCAGATTCCCCCCCCCCCCCTTGTAATACCTATTGTGGCCCCGCCCTACCCCGGGGGGTCCTGTTTGAACAATTTAGAATCTACATTACCCAAGGATGCTTCCACATAAGTTTCAGCTTTTCTGGCCCAGTGGTTCTTGAGAAGAAGATTTTTAAAGATTTTTCCTATATATTTCAATGTAAAACTTGGATTCCCTATTGTGGCCCCGCCCTACCCCCGGGGGTCATGATTTTAACAATTTAGAATCTACATTATCCCAGGATGCTTCCATATAAGTTTCAGCTTTTCTGGCCCAGTGGTTCTTGAGAAGAAGATTTTTAAAGATTTATTCCTCTATATGTCAATGTAAAACTTGGATTCCCTATTGTGGCCCCGCCCTACCCCCGGGGGTCATGATTTTAACAATTTAGAATCTATACTATCCCAGGATGCTTCCATATAAATTTCAGCTTTTCTGGCCCAGTGGTTCTTGAGAAGAAGATTTTTAAAGATTTATTCCTCTATATGTCAATGTAAAACTTGGATTCCCTATTGTGGCCCCGCCCTACACCCGGGGGTCATGATTTTAACAATTTAGAATCTATACTATCCCAGGATGCTTCCACATAAGTTTCAGCTTTTCTGGACCAGTGGTTCTTGAGAAGAAGATTTTTAAAGATTTATTCCTCTATATGTCAATGTAAAACTTGGATTCCCTATTGTGGCCCCGCCCTACCCCCGGGGGTCATGATTTTAACAATTTAGAATCTACACTACCCAAGGATGCTTCCACATAAGTTTCAGCTTTTCTGGCCCAGTGGTTCTTGAGAAGAAGATTTTTAAAGATTTTTCCTATATATTTCAATGTAAAACTTGGATTCCCTATTGTGGCCCCGCCCTACCCCCAGGGGTCATGATTTTAAGAATTTAGAATCTACACTACCCAAGGATGCTTCCACATAAGTTTCAGCTTTTCTGTCCCAGTGGTTCTTGAGAAGAAGATTTTTAAAGATTTTTCCTATATATTGCAGTGTAAAACTTGGATTCCCTATTGTGGCCCCGCCCTACCCCCAGGGGTCATGATTTTAACAATTTAGAATCTATACTATCCCAGGATGCTTCCACGTAAGTTTCAGCTTTTCTGGCCCAGTGGTTCTTGAGAAGAAGATTTTTAAAGATTTTTCCTCTATATGTCAATGTAAAACTTGGATTCCCTATTGTGGCCCCGCCCTACCCCCGGGGGTCATGATTTTAACAATTTAGAATCTATACTATCCCAGGATGCTTCCACGTAAGTTTCAGCTTTTCTGGACCAGTGGTTCTTGAGAAGAAGATTTTTAAAGATTTTTCCTATATATTTCAATGTAAAACTTGGATTCCCTATTGTGGCCCCGCCCTACCCCCGGGGGTCATGATTTTAACAATTAAGAATCTACACTACCCAAGGATGCTTCCACATAGGTTTCAGCTTTTCTGTCCCAGTGGTTCTTGAGAAGAAGATTTTTAAAGATTTTTCCTATATATTTCAATGTAAAACTTGGATTCCCTATTGTGGCCCCGCCCTACACCCGGGGGTCATGATTTTAACAATTTAGAATCTATACTATCCCAGGATGCTTCCATATAAATTTCAGCTTTTCTGGCCCAGTGGTTCTTGAGAAGAAGATTTTTAAAGATTTATTCCTCTATATGTCAATGTAAAACTTGGATTCCCTATTGTGGCCCCGCCCTACCCCCGGGGGTCATGATTTTAACAATTTAGAATCTATACTATCCCAGGATGCTTCCACGTATGTTTCAGCTTTTCTGGCCCAGTGGTTCTTGAGAAGAAGATTTTTAAAGATTTTTCCTATATATTTCAATGTAAAACTTGGATTCCCTATTGTGGCCCCGCCCTACCCCCGGGGGTCATGATTTTAACAATTTAGAATCTACACTACCCAAGGATGCTTCCACATAAGTTTCAGCTTTTCTGGCCCAGTGGTTCTTGAGAAGAAGATTTTTTAATGACCCCACCCTAATTTTGTCTTTTCTTGATTATCTCCCCTTGTAAGGGGACTTGGCCCTTTATTTTAACAATTTAAACTCCCCATCACCCAGGGATACTTTGTACCAAGTTTGGTTAAAATTGGCCCAGTGGTTCTTGAGAAGAAGTTGAAAATGTGAAAAGTTTACAGACGGACGGACGGACAGACGGACAGACGGACGGACGGACGACGGACAACGGGTGATCAGAAAAGCTCACTTGAGCTTTCAGCTCAGGTGACCTAAAAACGGAACAATTGCTTCTTCTCAGATCTTTCTGGCAAAATTGTAAAAACAATCTATAATCATGATAATTACAAATAACAGGTACATGTATTAACTATACCTGTACTTTATTAAATAGTTTTTCATCATTTCCCCGAGCACACCCTGGTCCAGGTGTTAATGATTTGCAGAAAAAAAAACTTCGAATTTCTAGTACTCATTCATTAAATTTTATACAAACCAAACAATTTCCATAGAGCTGACAGAATAAATAACTGGTGTTATCCAAACCAAATTACATACATGTATATATTTTTATTAGAACAAATCATGTGTATCTATAACAAGTAAATACTAAAGAAGCTAGGATTCAGAAAGAAGTTTAGTTAAACTTATATTAATGCCGTTCTCTTTCATAAATCACAGTAAATATAAAACAGTAATTGCCCTATTTGAAAAGAAGTTTTCATTATGCATGTCATTGTACCTATGATTAAAAAAATATAATGAGAGGCCATAATGCTCACAGTCACCTGAGTCATCATAGCCCTGCTGTTCTAAATCAGATAAAATCCCCTTACTTACATGGAAAATTCTGATCTGCATATTGTGGACCCACCCTAGCCCTAAAGGGTTCATGACATATAACCAAACTGTAATCCACACAGGATACATGCTTCAATATCAATGTGACTACTATGATCTTGCCTTTCTGGAGATTTTTATTTGAAGATTTATTTTCCTGTACAGATAGTTTTCCAAAGAGGTAAATCAAGCAAGTTTTAAGAGTTCTTTCCCATTGGACACCATGCAATCACATCATTTTAGTCAACATGCTCAGTTTCCTTCATTAAGAGACCTTGTCATACTGGGCATTGAGGTATATGAAATACATGTATATAGTTTTTCAGGAGAATATACATTTGTTAAATTAATTAAGCCACCTTTAATTCATAATTTTCATATTATAATGATTTCCCAATATATAATTGGTTACATATGTAACAAAGAAAGAAAATTCATCAGGGTGGCCTTCAAGATGGTGGCCAATGAAAATAACCCAGGGAATTAATTGCATCAAAAGAAAACTATCGATTCACAAAAAAGGTAAAATGTGATCCCTCACCTATTTTACCCTAAGTCCAGGGTTGATAGTCTGGAGGAAAAACAACCTTAAACAACCTTTGATTTACACATTCTTCAAAAGAATCTATGTAAAACTTTTGATTCCTTATTGTGGACCAACCCTGTCCCTGAAGGCCACAATTTAACAAATTAACAATATGGCCCTGTTATTCTAGAAAAGATTTTAAAGATTTTTTTCTATATATTCTCTTGTAATCTTTGATCCCTTGTGTGGCCCCGACCTACCCCATGACTTAAACAAACTTGAATTCATACTACCTGAGTGAGGATGCTTGCATATTAACATTGATAATCATTACCCTGCTGTTCTTGAAAAAAAAGATTTTTTAAAGATTTTTCCTACATATTCCAATGTAAAACTTTGATTCCATATTGCCCCCCCCCCCCCCTTCCCAGGGAACATGATTTGAACAATTTGAATTTACAATTATCAGGAAGCTTCCACTAAAGTTTTATCTTGTCTAGCCCAGTAATTCTTGAAAAGAAGATTTTTAAATGCATGACCCTACCAAATTTTCAATATTTCTTTATATGGTATTATTTGATTTTCCTCTAAAAAGAGGGTTACTATGCCTCTTTACTTGAAAAAATTTAAACCCCCTTTACCCAAGTATACTTTGTAGAAATTAGTTTGGTTGACTTTGGCCTGGTGGTTCTGGAAAAGAAGTTAAAAATCTGAAAAATTTACAGACAACACACTACCAACAGACACTCTTTGATCAGAAAATTCTCTCTTGAAACTTTTGCTCAAAAAAAATTCATTCGAAACTACTTCCAGGAAATATTTTTTTGAAATATCCTTTAAACAGTAAGCAAAGTCAAAAAAAAAAAACATGAAAAATTCCATCATTCATATCTTGAGGCAGTTCAGTCAAAAAATCTAAAATTTTTGTTCTCATTCTAAGGTAAATCAGCACATTTTCCTGAATTTTCATCAAATTTTGTCTGCAAGTTTTGATACAACTTTTACACATATAAAACAAGATAGATATACAGTAAATGACAGATTGAAAGATGTCCAATGTTGCATAAATAAATATCTATATATATATATAGACAATAAAAAAATTGTTATTATACTTTAAATGATCCTGGAATATATGTTGTCATTGTAATAAAGAAAGTAATTCATTAGTAAAAATAGCAAACATATATGGTAAAACAAAAAATCCTATAAAACAAATTCACATTCCACACAGATCTTTAGTCTTCCTCAGGTTTAATGATGATTTCTGCTTCCTCTTGATATCCCATGGTTGTCGACCCTCCCACTCTATCAGCAATCTTTAGTCTTCCTCAGTTTTAATGATGATTTCTGCTTCCTCTTGATATCCCAGGGTTGTCGACCCTCCCACTCTCCCCGCTATCCACAGCACTCTGAAATTTATGTATTAAGATAATGCTTTTAGGAATTAGAACTTCACTGGCTCATTAACCGAGTTTTGCTCATACTTGAATGGGAACACCAGTTACTGGTAGTCAGTATTCACATGAGAACTAAATTTTCATCTGATGACGCATGTAGACAGGTGTTGATAAAGGAGTCAAAAAAGCATTCAATATTTTTGTCAATTGTTTTTCCAAAGTATTCTAACTATATAATTACCAAATATAAAAGAATGATTTAAGACTATAAGTGATGCAGGGAACAGACTAACATACTAATCTTTATTTGTACTGACCAAATTTGAAATGAAATCTCGCTGTATGAACACACTTTCATATAAGCAAAAAAAATACTCGTTTTAAAGCATATTTGACCTAGTCAGGGGCAGGTGTAAGTCTGTTTAAATGAATGCAAAAGCAAATAATGTGTGGTAAATTAAGTTTATCTAATGTGTTTCCTGACGGAGAAAGCTTTCCAATAAGCCTTCTATGGATAAAAAGTTCAATCTCTTTCTTAATTCTAAAATTCTCTAACCACTGTTCATTTATTTTATAGAAATATCATCTCGAACTAGATGCTTGATTATGGTTTCTTATCAATTTTACACTCGGAGAAGCATCGTACTGAAATCCCAATGCATTATAGGTATGAAAGAATTCTCTTTCTCCAGCATGAGGCAGTTTTTATGGATATCAAATGGATGATAAATTGTAGATAACACACTTACATATACAGTATTATTAACTCACATTATTAATATCACTGCAACAGCACTAATCCCAGCAAACATAAGAAACACAAACCCCCTCATGTCTGCTACTGTAGCACTGTATACAGCATTGCTGAGGGTGGTCCCTACTATTGAACAGAAGGTATCAGCCATACCTACTCCAGCAAACAGTGTACCTACAACACAACATTTACTGTTAAGCAAGAGAACCTGGCCCAGTCTAACAAGTTCTTCCATCATCATGAAATCAAATCAAAAGCATGTTAAATTCAATGTTTTCTTTTCTTTCAGAGTCCATCCTGATTATGAAATGTTCAAAAATGTACTGTTTATTAATAAATCATTCAAACACAGCATTCAGCAATAACTTACCTTGTTTGTCTGCAGGTGCCATTTTAGACATGAATCCCTTCATAATTGGTGCTATCATTGCAGAGCCAAAACCAACAACAGGAACTATACAGAGAAAAAAGAACACTGTATTGTACAACACTTCTCAAAATTTGACACTCATTAATTAACAAAACTGTGATGCTTATATACTTACCAAGAAACAATTCAAAACTCTCTTCAGCAAAGGCCTCCAGAATAAAAGCAGCCATATGTGAAGAAGCTCCTACCAGTGCAATAAATTCCACTGATACACAACACTGAAGAATACGGATAAGTACAGCACCAAGTATGTACGAAGACACGATCCGAATACCCATAAACCAGCCGAGGAGTACCGAACTCCAACAGAATGGTCTATTTAGCTGATATAAAGTTTCCACATTTGAGCGTCCAAGTACTCCTAGCTCAACACATATGAGAATCAAAAGAGAAAACACATACCGCCATTGAGTTCCTTTCCCATACTTATCACTAGTGTAGAATTCCCACACTCCTTTTAATTTCTCACAAATGTTTATATTTTTAGATCTAGATTTGAACTCAGGAGGGAGAGACTCTGGCAAGAAAAATCCAAACAAAAGTAGAGACAATAAAATGCACAATGTTGAAATGAAAGACGGTACTTCAAAGCCAAAGGCTTGGATGAGGTAGCCAGAAGAAAGGGTTCCAAGTAGTCCCCCAAATCCTGCAATAATCTCCAAGATCACTAGAAGGAGAATTCGCTTATCACCACTTTTGGTGATATCTGCTACATAAGAGAGTGACACTGTGATCTGACAATATAGTCCCCCTGTCAGACCCTCTACAAGGAGGAAAACAATGAACCAGTACAAGTCTAATTCATAGTGTATGCCAACTACAAATAATGCACTTCTAATCAAAGCACCAAAAATTGGAATAACAATGAAAGGTTTTCTTCCATATGTGTCACTTAGTGTAGATAAGAAGAAAACTCCAAATATCGGAGGTATGAATAAGGCTAATGATGTGTAGATCATAAACTGTGAGGCTAAAACTTGGATCTTATTTCGTATTTCTTCCTCTGTCCCCGTTGAGGCATTTACACTCGTATTGCAGTACGACTTTTGCATTTCTTTGGAATTGTATGAAATGTTTGGGAAGTATTTCTTGTGATATGCAAAATACACATACTGATTAAGGACACCTAGTTGCAGAATGGTAAAAGCCACAACCAACAAGAACACTCCTGAAAACAAAACAAAACAACGAAAGAGGAAGAGCCTTCTTCCTTTTTGAATGGCTACTTCGTCTTCTTGGGGAATATCTGATGAGTTTCCTAGCAGTGGTGCAGTCTCAACATTGTCATTGTCATCAAATGGTGCCTCACATGAATCTCTCTGCCTTAGGTTAACATCTTTTTCAAGTACATTTTCACTTCTTGTCTGCGAATTAAAATTTGATAATCAAAAATATATAGAATGTGTTACACTCTAACAAAGTGAATACAGTGCTAGATCTGTTTTATATAAGCATTTATAGTTGACAAAGTATGTAGTATATTAGTGAAAAGAATTTGACTTTAAATATATTTCTATAGATGAAATAGATTTGATTATTATTAAACAAAAATAGCACTCACTTGTACTACAAATATAGAAAATATAAACAGACGTTGATAACATACCGTCATGGTTTCAGGAGATACTTGAGATTTTCATCTGTCATAAATATTCATATAAGTGATCATCTTTAGCAGCACTTCACCTTAAATTAAAATATAACACTTGTAACGATATGATACTAGCCATCTTGCTAACATATATGTATCTTACTGATGGTACAGGTACAACTACACAAAAAAGTTAGACAAAATTCCTAACGAAACACTTGTTATTCTCATTCGTTAATTAAAGATATGCTTAATCATCACTAATATATCTAATATGCCATCTTTCCCAATATAGTTGGAATTAATTGACAAATGACTTGCTGTCATGACAAAACCATTACACGACTTTCTTGCCCCAGAACTAATTTCCCGAAGTGCAATGTGCTTCATTTTTGCCCAGATATGAAGTTGGTGATTACTGATGGTGGTCATTGAGGTTGCAACAGAAGCATGCAGTCTCCAAGTTAAAAATCAAATAATATGCAGCTATTAACTATCCACTATATATGTACTATATAATACTAGTACCTGTATATAATATATGTACTAGTATTACCAACTCACTTCCTCCCAGTAGGACCTGAAGACCATTAACCAGGTGGCTATTACACTAAAAATTCTGGATACTAGTATGGCATGGATTAGTATATTCATTATAATAATGGAAACAGTTAACCTGTTTATAGATTCTGCCCATATGAGTTTAAGGACATATGCAACGTTACCTTACCTACTGATAATTTTTCTAGATATTCTTAATTTAAGATTATAGTGTCATCAGATGTTCGTAGACAAAAAACCAGCATGCATTACCAGGGGTTTTGAAAAGATATCAATTGATGAAAATTATTGTATAATTCATAAAAAATATATTAAAATTACTAAACATATATTCTACATGTTTTGTTTATCCACAGGGGCATCTTATCCGCTCTGTTCTCTACTACACATGTGTATTTTTATATATGTGTTAGTAGAGAACAGAGCGGATAAGATGCCCCTGTGGTTTATCCAAACTTGTTTAAGAAGAAGTGTACAACAGCATATATAGACACTAAAATGTAGCAGTCACAGTTCCTTTAAGTATTGGAACTCTTCAACTCCATTGGAAAAGACAATAAAGTTAAATTCAAACTATGTTGCGTATGTCCTTAATAAGATGCATTTTTAAAATAAGACCAACATTGCCCTATAATCAATAGCTGTCATTACTATTCCTAACACAAAAAGCACCCACTTACCACTACACTAATTATACTCCAGGATATGTCTAGCAATCAAAAAAGGACATCTAATTCCTGGGCTGACTATGCACTGTTAAATGTAGCATACTGTAAATCCTGGCTTGGTCTCAAAGAATTAAGAGGCATTCTCTGTAATAACTTGAAATTTTACATAGAAGCTGTGGCACACACAATCTCAGAATTTCTCCAAACTCTCTACGATGAAGCCTTTGATAGCGTAATATCAAATCAGGCAGTATATTGGTAGCTATGTATACTGGTTACCATGGCAACATGCCATAAAGTTTGAAAAATGGCATTTTTGAACATGTTCAGTCACACTGTTAACATTTTTAGCAGTGCAAACAAGTGGCAATAACTGTTTCCAAAAAGCTGAAGGGCTGATGTTTTAAATGCATGATAAAACATATTTAAGAAATCAACTATTATACAAGTTACCATGGAAACAAAGTATTCAGAAGTAATAATTTCATACATTCATTTTTAGAGTCATACACTCAAAAATAAAAGCAGTTCTAGGTTGAAATGCAACGCAATAGATAAAGATACTTGTAACACATACATGTACCAAGGATGAATTGTGGTATTTCTTATTGGTTGGCAATGGTTGCCATGGTTTTAAAACCGCAAAGGAATTTAAAATTTACTCTCTGTATCTTTCAATCTGATCTTTTTATTAAAAAAAAAAGCACATTTCTATATAACTGGTGATCAATTTTTAAAGGCAATATATGATATTCAACTCTAGTTCTATCAGATAGGTACTAAGTAACTGTAACTTAATTAATTACTTTCCCATATGTAACTGACCCCATCCCAGTTGTTGATCAAATTTGATCATGTTACACTTATCATTAGTGAATACTAAGCATTTTTCAGCATTTTAATGCATTTAAAGTATTTCAAATGAACCCTGGTTACCATTAACATAAAGAGATATAATCTAAGTAGTTTCTATATAACATTATATGCTCCAGCCATATTCATGTTGCATAAAAATGTTGTTGCAGTTGAATAACTCTCACCAACATGTATCAACATATGAAGTTTAATAGAAATATTTTGAATAGATTCTTTGAAACTGAGTTAAACACAAAGTGTGATGGACGGACATATAGACAGAAAGATGGAGGGACAGAAGACAAATATTACAAACACTATACTCTCCAGCCTCATTCATATGGCACACCAAAAAAAAAATGGAACAATTTTCATATATAGATTTAAAAAAAAGTTTTGAGAATTCACCATGTTTAAATCTGGGACAAATCATCTGCCTTTGTGGAGCAAGGGGTTGTTTGATGTGAACACCTGGATGAGGCTGGAAGTTTGTGGCCACCTCAAGCCTCCCTCCAAGTAAAGCATAATATAAATGTTATTCTCTTCCTGTACTTTTTTTTTATTTTGTTGTTCTATATTATACAGTTGTTGACTGGGGTAGCGGGAAACAGTCGATCTGTTGGACCGGAGTGCAAGCTGTTGTCCAAGGCCATAGGCACTCCGGTCCTACAGATCGACTGTTTCCCGAGACTCCTGTCAACAACTATTTCGTTATACTTCTACTAAATCAAATTCATAAAATTAACAACAGTCAAGGGCATCATGGAAACAAGTTATTTTTAAAATAATGTGTTGAAGTTATTAAATGTCATTATTTTGGGTTATCTTTCCCTGATTATGCTTTTCTTCAGTAACTTATTCCAGTTATTGATACTTTACTATTCATTATTTTAAACCTACTAGTATCTGAAAAGCTTTATTCATGTTGTACTTGGGTTATTAAGTTGAAGGAAAAGGTTCATGACATTAAAAGTTATTTATCTTTAAGATTGAACAAGTTGAAATTCAACAAATCATAACTTATTTCAGTTTTTTCAACCTTAACCAACCTCACTTTAGAACTCTTGCACAAAAATCTACAGCTTTGCACAAAAATTGTAAGACATAGAGATTGTACAGTAATATCCAAGGATTTTAGGAAAATTAGTCTCACTGTTGGCAAAATTGGCGGAAATTGTGTAATTGACCTCTGAAATGTTCTTGAAATGGAATTATTTTTTCCTGAAAAATATCATTATATTTCGATAAATATCATCATATCTGCTCAGGAGATATGAAGTCTGTTGAGTTTATTAAAAGAAGTAGATATATTTACAACTTTCTCAGCTTTACATCATCTTAAATCAGAAGCAAACTCAAAATATTGATGCTTTTTGGCAAAATTGATAGGCATTCTACATTTTAAGGATTAACTCAAATGAGTTATTTCTTTGTTTAGTAACAAAGAAGTGAAGTAACTTTAAAAAGTAATTTTAAAAAATAACTTGATTCCATCATGCCCCTGACTGAACAAGAAGAGGTAGCAATAAGTCCAGAGTCACCAGATATTCACCGAGAATATTTTCAGCCGTTTTCACAACATTTTTCATATTTATACTGACCATTCATGGTAGCTCAGTTGGTAGAGCGCCTGCTCCGTGATCGGGAGGTCGTGAGTTCGAATCTCGGCTGCGACTGACCTAAGTCGAAAAAAATGGGTAGCAACGGTTCCTTCGCCATGCATGCGGCACTTTGAAGTGAAAGTTGCGGGTCCTTTGGATGAGAACTTAATAACCGAGGCCCCATGTCACGGCAGGCATTGGCACAATAAAGATCCCTCACTGCTCAATGGCCCTGAGTGCCGAGTAAAGGTCAAAATTTGAAGCCCTTCACCGGTATATGGTGACGTCTCTTTATGAGTGAAAAATTCTCGAATGGGACGTAAAACAACATACAATCAATCATATTTATACTGTCCCTACTTTCAAGTATCGCCTGGATTTCATCCTCGTTCGCGGCAGCAAAAAACGAACAACGGCCATTTCTGTTTATCTTAACGACAGGGTTAAATTACTCGGTACTCCTCAGCTGATTACATTTAACTCACGTTTACTCGAATCAGCCGAGGTTTGCTGAATGAGGTAAAGACAACTCAATTTAGCGCCATTAGACGTCAGCGGGCAACAGTCTTTTTTAACAGTCCATTTTAACAGTTCCTGGACCGACAGTTGGGGAAACAGTCGAACTGTTGGACTTTTTAAAGTAAGAAATTATATAGGGACTGTTTAGTAGGGGTATAACATTTTTTTGTTTTTGACGCATTGGCGTACACGATTTACCGGAGTATGCATATATAACATAGCTGCACTGCAAACTTTCTTGACCATGCCCGAATACCGATAGGAATCCACTTTTTATATTATGCTATGTCGTATACTATTGTCACTGAATATACCACTGTCAACCTACATGAATAATCTACAGCAAAATGCCAAAAACCGAAATAAAAATCTTCGTTATTGATGTTAAGTCATAAAATACATGATAGTGTGGATAATACATAGCTTAGTACGTACTTCTTGGTCATGTGTTAAATAGACGATTGATTTCGTAGGCCTAAAACAACTGTAGAATACTGAATAGGCCTATTATGTCCAAGGTGTCAAAGGTACATTTTTTTTAAGTATCAGTGATTTTCTCATATGTATGAGAAATGTAAAAATAGATAGATCTATATATACCTTATGGCTTATGGTCGGACGACTTCTGGACATAACAATAAAAGGGACATTACTCTCAACTATCCTTGAACTTGACTATATGTACAGTGTGTAGTGGAGGATCTTGGCTGATCCAACCGTTAAGAGGCGTACATCACGGTAATATCAGGGATCTATATACTAATTAGTTTATAGGTCTCTGGTAATATTAAAAAAAAAAAAATAAGCAAAAGAAAAGTAAACCAAAAACAAGATTTTTTTAAAGAAAGTAAATTATGTATAAATATAATATATAAAATATATAAATATAAATAATGTAGAAGTAAATTTAAGTATGTTATATAGGTGTAGTATATTTTAGGATTTATTATATATATATATTTGAATTCTTTTTTTTTTAATTAAAATAATTATCCGTTAATTTTACCTCTCTGATACGTGCCACTTATCACATGCACTTAATTGTTACATGTATAAAAGTTAGTAATCCCATCCCCGCATAATTACACTGTTCGCGCCACTCATCCGCTTGATCCTACCACACACAGTTAGCATACTTTTCAAAAGTCTTTCTTGTAAATTATTTTAAAAAAAATTACAGTAACACGTACATCCAGTTGATCTGATATTGATAAATAAATAAACAGATAAATAAATATTGTTAGATATTTCATTTGTGAATTAAATCATTTATTTCTTGGCATGTATTGGAATATCAATTGATTTTAATTTTTTTTTCATTAGAATTTAAATTGGCATATAGTTTTATCTTATCTGCATGATCTGGGACATACCGAATGCGTTTTTTTTTACCCAATGAAATTTGTAATTATCATCTTCTGCTTCTGTTTCGCAAAACATCAATTTCACGTCTTTCGTTTAGATATATATGACACAATATGCCAAGTAAACAAACTTGAGAGGCCCAATTTTCAAGGTGCTATTTGCAGGCCTAAAGTTTGTTTAAAGGTAGATGATCCTGTTTTGAATTGTCTCTGTAATATGTCTACTTGCTACTAATTTTACTATATAGTACGTTAAACATGTCCTAAGGCTATACCAGTCTTCCAGCGACGAAACTTTATAGAATGTTGGAAAAAGACCACCCTAGCTCTTTGACGTCATTTTCAAGCCCTTAGTTGTTTGGACACTCCATATAATTTGATAGAACTTACAGAATGAGACAAAAATTTCAAAGTTTTTGGAACAATTGTGTCATACCACATGCCCGAGTTAATGGGCTTTTTGGATGACAAATATTTTTATTGAGAGAGTGTTTCTCAGTTACACTCAGGTAGGAAAAAAACCATTATATTCGAGGTTGCGCCGCCTGGACATACCATTGCTTATAAAAACATTTAAAAAAGTAAAACTAATGATTAGTGGTTTACTCTATAGATAGAAAAGATGATGCTAACTAAATGTATTAAAATTCATTGATGTTCCTATAGGGTTTTAATTTTATACGCTAGTCCACTAACTTTTTGATAACCCCTCATAGGTATCAATATGACGTTCTACAGTAACCGCAGCGTAAAGTACAGAAATGCTACCTGTACCATTCAGTGCTATGGTTATATCACAAAACGTTAAAAAAGTAAGATCTGCACCAGATTAAGGTTTTCAATATGTACAAGTAAGTAAATCATTTATTATAGTGACATGTGTTATACAGTACAATGAGAAACATTTAATACAATTAAATATTCAAACACCCGGCCCATCGGACCTATATGTCACTTTTAACAAAAATGAATGAAATATATATATATACACATGTATATGTATATGTATCAATCTCAGAAAAAATATAGTTATGATAATACTTTGTAATTATTTAGACGTAATCAGGTTTCACCTCGACGAAAATTAAGTTTTCGCTAGCAAAACACGCCAAAAGGAAATGGATAAGCCATGAATACTTAGAATGGAGAACACTAAGATTTGTATCACCGCACTGACAAGGCCCCCATTAGAAATGAGGAAAGTTGTAAAGACGAATAATAGCCTGCGTAGAATAATGACAGTGGGTCATTATTCGTCTTTACACCGGTCACTTGCGTAGATCCAGGAATTTATTCCGGGGGTGCTTGGGTGTGTCCAAACTAACTCGAACAAATTAAGATGGGACTCTCCCCCCCCCCCAAAAAAAAAAAAATACATGTAAAATAAAAGGCCCATGGGCCACATTGCTCACCTGAGCACTTTGGTTAGCGAAAATCGTAAATCAGTAATGTTCAATATTGAAAAGTTTAAAAACAGTGACCCCACCCTATCCCGGGAGGACAGGGGAGGGGTTGTGATCTGTACAAACTTGAATCTACACTTACTGATGACGCTTCCATATTTATATACATGACTAATCATGGCTTGCAATTTTTTTCATAGATTTTCACTTCAATATTCCTATTTATAATTTGATAGCCTATTGTAGCCCGCCCTATCCCGGTGGTCATGATTTGAACAAGCTTGAATCTACACTACCCTAGGATGCTTCCATATTAATATGACCAATCATGGCATTGCTGTTCTTGACGGGAAGATTTTTAAAGCTTTTTCCAATACGTCCACATGTATATTCCTATGTAAAACTTTGATTGCACATTGTGGCCCCACCTTACCCCCTGGCGTCATGATTTGAATAAACTTGAATCTGCACTACCTGAGGATGCTTCCATATAAATATGACTAATCATGGCTCTCCTGTTTTTAAAAGAGTTTTTCTATGTATCCCCATATAAAACATTGACCGCCAATTGTTGTCCCACCCTACCCCGAGAGTCATGATTTGAACAAACTTAACTCTACACAATCTGAGGATGCTTTCAAATAAATAAACATTTATTTAAATGATATTTTCACTCATATAACGTTGTTTCTCTTAATTTATAATATATATGCAATTTAGCAAAAAAAAAAAAAAAAAAAAAAAAAAAAAAAAAAAAAAAAAAAAAAAAAAAACACCCAGCTGCGAATTGCCAGTTTTTTGATTTTAGTTGTACATAGCAAAATTTGTGGACATAAATATGACTTATCATGGCTTTGCTGTTCTTTAGGAAAAGATTTTTAAAGATTGTTCCTATATATTCCAATTTAAAAGTTTAATTGTCGATTGTGGCCCAACCTTAGCCCCTGGGGTCATGATTTAACAAACTTGAATCTATACTATCTATACTACGTAATGAAGCTTTCACTTAAGTTACTTTTTTTTTTTTGACCAGTGATTATTGAGAAGATTTTTAAAAGATACCAGCAAATTTTCACTTATTCTTAATTTTCTCCACTTAAAAGCAAGCATGCATGGGCTTTCATTTGAAGAAATTTAATTAAATCCCCTTCACCTAAAGATACTTTGTAACAAGTTTGGTTGAAATTGACCCAGTAGTTCTTGAAAAGAAATAAAAAATGTGAAAACTTTACGCACGACAGATGGACGCCTGGCACTCTTTGATCAGAAAAGCTCAATTGAGTCTTCGGCTCAGGTGAGCTAAAAAAAACTTCCTCAAACCTGAAAAAACTATTTCGTAGAAAGGAGGGGTAGGGGTCGCAAGTCATGATCACTTTCCCAAGTCAATTTTCATATATACATGTATTTCGTATACATGTACATGGTTCTCCTTACCAATTCACGAAGAGTGTGTTTCCTAGCATGGGGTCCAAGGTCAATTTTTGATTACTTTACGTATAAATTAAATTTGAAATAAATCTGAAAATCCTCCGGGGAGGGGGTCCAGACATCCCGATCCCCCTCTTGATCCGTGCATGGACCAAAAGCAACTTAAGAATCTAATGGGCAGGAAAGGATACAGACAAAGTGGAGTAGGTGGGCGTCAGCAAGGGCAGCAGCCAGAGACAAGTGGAGGCAGTTTATTGGGGCCTTATGTGCCAGCGAATACGAGGTGAGGAAGCAAAACGCATTATCCGACGTAGCGAAATACTTGAACCGAAAATTTAAAAATGCACCTCTTATCGAGAAAGCAATAATAATTGGGATTCTGATTGTATCCTTTTACAATGCATACTGTCAGGTACATGTATATTATAATTTTTACATTTCGAATGACATACAGGTACGTTCTGAACAGGGGCGGATCCAGCAGTTTTTGAAAGGAGGTTTCAACGTGTTGCACCCCTCCCCCCCCTCCTCCCGACACACACACTCAGAGACACACACACACATATACAGGGAGAGAAAAATTCTCTTATGCATACTCCCTTTAATAACTAATTTAAGTTAGTTCCTCAGAAGATACTCCGAAAATGATATAGCCAAATTCCGCCATAATATTTCGATGTTATCAGATTGAAATCTCACGTTACTTATCGTATACTAGATCAAGTTGATATTTCCTATCATTCACTCGTAAATGAAAACGCTTAGGGAAGGGGGGATAATGAAGGTAAATGGATGAAAGTAAATACGCAAGACTAGATCTGTAAGTGGAATGGACAAAGATTGCCGATCGAGGTGTTTTGAATTAAAGTACGTTCCTATTCAAAAACCATGTAAAAATATCTATTCCAGAAAACACGTTTTATTTTCTATCTCTCTCTCTCTCACTACGTTGCAAAAATAAAGGGGGTCCAACTCCCGGGACCCCCTGTGGATCCGCCAATGCTGAAGTTTTATCTTAATTCCTTTATTTAAATTTCAGTATAATAATACAAGTTCAGCATTGATTTTTGTTGTTGTTCGCAATTAGCCCTCTATTTCTCCTCTGGGTCAACAACAATTTCTTTTTCTGTGTAAGTCATATCTTTGGATCCACCAATCCTACCAGCCAACCAGAGAATGCTATATAAGTAACAAAATCTCACAAGTTATCTATGAAAAAAAGAAGAAACACGCAAAAAAATATTTTAAGATCAAAGAACACGCAATTTGACCAGCACTTACAATATTAAGATAACTGCCACAGTACTAATCCCAGCAAACATAAGAAACACAAAACCCCTCATTTTGGCTACCGTAGCGCTATATACAGCGTTACCGACGGTGATACCGATAATGTTACAAAGAGAGTCGGCCATACCAATCCCCGCAAATAAGGTCCCTATAAAAGAGTAGTTCACTATTACCTAAATACAGCAAATACATATACTATATATCATATAATTCTATTTTGTTTGTTCTTTTTCTTTAATATCTCTCTCCCTCTTTCTTCTCTCGCTATATATATATATATATATATATATATATATATATATATATATATATATATATATATATATATATATATATATATATATATATATATTACTTTCATTTATTAAAAAAAATCAAAAGAGAGACAGAGACAGAGAGAGGAAAATATAGAAACGTTAAAACTTCTACCAAGATGTTAAAATGATGGGGATATATATATATATATATATATATATCTATATCTATATATATATATATATATATATATATATATATATATATATATATATATTTATTTATTTTAAAAAAAGGGTATATTCACATTGTACATGTATATAATTTCGGAGTAAATTGGCTGTGTCTTGATTTCACTACTCAGTATAAATTCTAGTAAACAATTGAATTTACTGGCCTTGTTTGTCTGCCGGAGTCATTTTGGACATGAATCCTTTCATAATCGGTCCAATCATTGCAGATCCAAATCCTACTACAGGAACTTTAAGAAAAAAGGAAGGAAAAAGATCATTTAAGACATAACATATAAATTGATGTAATTCATTACCCATGATATTCTAAAAGTTTATGAGATTTTTTCATTTACCAAAAAACATTTCAAAACTCTTCTCCGCAAAGGCTTCAAGAAAAAAGGAACTAGCGTGCGATGCTGCTCCAATAACACCACAGAATTCAATTGATATGCAACGTTGCAGAAGGCGAAGAAGCACCAAGCCAACGATGTAGGCAAATGTGATCCGAATGGCAATGAACCAGCCGATAAGCACCGAATCCCAACAAAACGGTGCATTCAATTGATACAGGGTTTCAACACTAGCTTTACCTTGCAAACCTAGTTGAACACATATACCAACCAAAATAGAAAACACATATCGCCACTGAGTCCCTTTTCCGTATCTGTTGCTGGTGTAAAACGTAGTCACTCCTTTTAATTTATCACAGATCTGTAACCTCTTTGATATCAACTTAACCTCATGAGGTAGAGATTCAGGAAGGAACAGTCCTATTATTAAAACAGATAGAAATACACATATCGTTGAAATAAGCGTTGATATAGTGAAACCAAGTGCACGAATCAGATAGCCAGAAGACAAGGACCCTACAAGCCCACCAACACCGGCGCATACCTCAATAATCACCAACAAGAAAACACGGTTGTCTCCGGGTTCTGTTATATCAGCAACGTATGACAAAGCTACAGAAAGCAAACTAAAAAGCCCCCCTGTTGCACCCTCTACAAGCAAGAAAACAATCAACCAGTAAAGATTCACCTCGTAGTGAATACCAATTACAAATAAGACATATCTGAGGAAAGCCCCTGCAATTGGAAGGACAATGAAAGGTTTTCTTCCATATGTGTCGCTCAGCGTAGCAAAGAAAAGGTTTCCAAGTACAGGAGGAATGAACAATGCTAAGGAAGTGTAAATTAGAAACTGTGAGGCTAAAACTTGGATTTTGTTCTCAGCTTCTGTGATATCTGACGAAACATTGTTGGCTTTGCAGTATGACTTCTCCGTAGGATTGACCTGGAAAGACAGATTACCAAAATAGTGTTTGTGGAAGTAAAAGTACACGTATTGGTTGAGTACACCATGCTGTGTAATAGTGAAGGCGATGACCAACAGGAAAATTCCTAAACTTAAAACGAAGGAATGACGAAAGAAATGCCTTGGTCCAGGAGATTTTACAGTGTCCTGCGTGCTTTCTCCGAGAAGTCGCACCGTCTCGGTATCTTCAGAATGAAGTAGATGTGTGGAATCTGTAATTTTGGTCTCGTCATTGTCCGTTGATTTTGACTGAAAAAGATTAAGTGAAATATTTTCCGACATAGGATATCATTTAGGAATAATGGGTTATTTTCTAATCGAATGCCACATAAAACATATTTCTAGAGTTTGTATAATTATTATTTTGCTTTCAGTCAACATGCAACTGTTGTTGTCTTTAGCATAATTACGATTTCATAATGATCAACTATTAAAGTCATGAGACATGCATCTCATACGTGGCTATATTTGTTACATTAAAAGTTATAATCTAAAGATTAAACTTATCTATAACTATCTTACTGTCATATACATTCTAGTACATATAATGATCAAAATTATCAATAAGGTGTTGGTAAATGACAGAGGCAATTTGGTGATTTACCTTAAATCTGACATCGTACGCGTGTTTTTGGATATACATTGTCTGATGTACCATATCAATTGTCTTATACAATTACAGCGTATACTATTTATAGAGTTCTGATAAACCCAGCCTATGAAATTAACTTTTAAAATTTACAATCCATTTCAATCAGTTGATGTACACAAATTTGAAATACCGAAAGAAATGTAGAAAGCCTGGTGAGGTTTTATCATTTGGGTTTACCAAAACTTGTAGAAGTCAGTCAGGCTCCTAGAGAATGCCAGTGTCAATATTCAATGACCTAAAAGTTAGACCTTGATCTGTGAATAAATATACAGTTGTGGTCTGTTGCAAACGGTTGTCACTGCGACATTCCTTAGTGTATTAAAATTCAAAAGAAATGTCAGGCATGTAATTCTTTTTTTTTTTGGTGGGAGGAGCCCCGGGCACAACATAACAGAAATTATGTAAGCGAATAAGTCAAAATGATTTAAAAGAGTTTAATTAACAAAGAGTAGTGGATCGTATAGCGGCTTTCTCTATCAAAAAGCGTCGTTGATCGTATTCTATAGGTAGGTTGGGGCTATCTGGTACCATTTGTGGGGTGTACAATACATAACGCTCATTTACATACACTGTACAGCTGCTGTATGGAACGATGCTTAAAACTTGTAATTACTGGTAATATTAATTTCAGATTCTATATATATTTTGCTTCTGTTTTGTTTTGTCATTTGTTTTTGTTTTTTGTTTTTGTTTTTTTTTTTTTTGGGGGGGGGGGGGGGTCGAAGTATACATATTTTGGAAAAACATCCTAATTTTTTTTTACACTATGTTTAATCGACGCCATTTCTGGAGGTACACCTCAGAGTTAGCCAGGTTCCCTGGCTCATCCTAGCTTAGTGCTGCGTATAGTACACGAAGCATAACAGGGGCAGGGAACCGGGCGACCTCTGAGTGAGTTCACTTCAAAATGAAGTCCCGGCAGGTTTATTCGGGTTTCCCTCTTGACCAACCATAGATTTGCTTATATATTAATTTTTTCGACCAATCAAATTTGCGCGTTTTTAAGCATGTGTGTGTGTGTGTGTTGTGAATGTAAGCATGACAGGCGCAAGTAACCGAAGAGACTTAACTCCAATATTAGTGAATGGTTGAGTATCTATTGTTTTATATTTACATCCACTGAATATTTTCTCTTTTATTTCTAAAGAAAACAATTGGCGTTTATCAGTTCATGTACAACACTAGGCATATGACCTGTACAAATTTCTTGATCAGTGGCTGTTCCATCAATGAAACGTACTGTGACGTACATGTATATCAATAATACAATAATTAATCTTTTTAATCCTACTTTAAATGATTATTTATACAGATATAAATATAAACAATAAAATGCCTTTCTTAATTAGGTTATTAGTACGGGAATTAACGTCGCAGCTATTGCAGAAAACAACAGCTGCGACGTTAATTCCCGTACTAACAACCAAAGGAAGCATTTCATTGTTTAAATGTGAATATTGTTTTCTACTTATAAACGGATGTTAAAGTATTGAAAAATAATTATAATAAATTGTTTACTCTACAGATTGTACTATGAGTGTTTATATTTGTTGGAGATAAGAACCAAAGAGTCAAAAATGTTGTAAAATTCCTGATTATTTAATAATACCTCGGCTTTCGGTGTCGGTCAACCAATACCTGATCAGGTCCGTATAGTCACGAGTAGACCTCATCAAAAGTCAGTAATTGAATAATTATGTTAAGTTACTATTCTTGTTAAGTCTCCTCCAGATAGATAAACATCCTGGTACCTTACAATGCCCTTAATCCTTTTATTTTACGGAAAAGTCAATATCCCGATTGGATTATAGGTGCATATAGTCTATAATGAGTACATTGTAATAAGCTTAGCTTTACTTTCTTGATTAAAATAATTGTCTCAAACCCTATAGATAAACAGTTCGAAACTCCTTGACAGAAAAAAAGATAAAGAGGGACTAATCTTAAAATTAGATTTATTTTCCATTATATAGTATACTATGTTGGAAAATGATTTGGATGGAACAAGCCCTGTGTCGTCACGGGCCTGTATCTTGCATAAGAAGTTTCACATTCATTAATTCAGACATATGATATGTAACAAATTATTAGGTAACTCGTAAATTCAAGTCTTTTATTGCAACACAGTGCTAAAAGAAATGCTACTATTCAGGTAAAGAAAATTATACATGTATAGAATTAACATATTTTCAACAATTAAGCTGTTTACAAATACATGTACTAGTACTTGTATTTTTTATTGCATGACAATATATCATGGAATCACATTTGTCAGTTACGGTACTTTCATAAGTTGTTGGGTTTCAACTTTTTTTTCAAAACCAAATTTTAGTGATACATTACCACATTGTACTACAAGAAAAAAGGGGGACAACTTTGCCTTTCAATGAACATTTTCAATAGTAAAAAAAAGTTGAAGGGGAGGGGGGGGGGCAGTCCCTGTCCATCCCCTGAAGTTACGTGCCTGTTTTCAATAAATCGCACTATTCACGATTTCACCAGACAATCCTCGTTTATATATAACCATTGCCTTGTTGCCATTGAAACAAGTTAGAAATGATCAAAGTTCAATAATATCAGTGTTAAAAATTGTTGCATTTTGTCAAGTCGAAAATTCCTAGGAATTTTACTTTACTATGAAATATACAACTTTAACGCCTGATGTGAATTCATTCTACCCCTATTGGCTATTGCTATTCTTTTAGAGAGAGAGAGAGAGAGAGAGAGAGAGAGAGAGAGAGAGAGAGAGAGAATAAAAGGTGTTTCCTGGAATACAGATATTTTTACGAGGCATATATACCCTTTGAATATACGTAATTCAAAACAACTCGATCGGCAATTTTTGTCCATTCCGATAATTAGATAGAGTCTCGTCGTATTTCCACATGATCCATTCATCCATTTTCCTTCATTTTCCCCTTTCCTAAACCGTTTTCATTTATGAGTGAATAATAGAAAATATTTCTACCTAATTCAATATGCGATAAGTAACATGTGAGAATATCGAAATATTCTGGCCAAAATTTAGCTATATCATTTTCGGACCATCTTCTGAGGAACTAACTTTTAAAAGTCATTAAAGGGAGTATGCATAAGAGGATTTATTTTTATCTCCCTGTATGTGTGAGTCTGTTTGAGTGTTTGTATATGGGGGGGGGGGGATAGCACCAGCCTGGACCCCCTTTCAAAAATTGCTGGATCCGCCCCAGAAACCCTTTCCTTTAAATCAAGTGTGCGAAACTTTGAGAATGGAGAGGGAAGGGAGAGCAATATGACAGAGAGAAAACCACTGTCTTTATGAACAAATCTAAGGTCCACCCTTTATTTGAATTCTTAATTCTCTCAACCCTTTCCCTTAAATCAAGTTAAACAAGCAGAATCTATATACAAATAGCCAAACAGCTGACGGGTACATGTATATTCAAACATATATATGGAAATATGTAGCTGCAGAACTGTAGCTCTCTGCTTGAGAAAATTCGGACAGACAAAGCAGAGAGCTATACAGATCCAAGCGTTGTAAAAACCTTCAATTTACGCCGCCGCTTTTTTGTCGCTCGCTTCGGGTATTAATTTCTTGTAATTAATGCTTTCCCTTGCTTTAAAAGTGGTATCCAATATTTATCTATATATTTTACTCCTATTCCTGACACGACAAAAAAGCGGCGGCGTAAATCGGAGGTTTTTACAACGCTTGGATCTGTAGCTCTCTGCTTTGTCTGTCCGAATTTTCTCACGCAGAGAGCTACAGTTCTGCAGCTAGGAAATATGTAGCCACGATGATAATATTGATCCAATGGCTCAAAATACTTCGGCATGATCGCGGAAGATTTTTAATGCCCCATCCATGCACCTTTCTCGTTGATCTTTTTGCCCACAAACTTAAGATTATTAGTAAGCTTCTTGTGGTAACATACCTTCACATTTTTTTCATTTATCACTAGCATTCTAATTCCATTGACTTTGAACACCAATCTGAAAGTGAATTAAGAAATGAATTAGAGTTTAGTTGAGTGCAGATAGAATTACACCACGCATGTAATTCTGAGAGAGAGAGAGAGAGAGAGAGAGAGAGAGAGAGAGAGTGATAGAGATCTAACCTTGTGAGTGAGTTATAATTTTCCTTAATCTAAAGATACAAAAATGTGCGCTAGCTACATGTACCTGAAGCAGGACACCACACAGTTCACAGAGAACGTTCTAGTTTGTCAACTTTGTCTAATATGCGTCTTAGATCTTAGATTGTTCAGTGACTGTGACATCTATATACTTGTAGATTAAAAAAATTTGCAAATAAACTCCGAAACGGGTGCACCAGAGTTCTTACTTACTCCTCTAAGAATATTCACTAGATACAAGATGATGTCTGTAAACTATATTTAGATTTCACTCTCATAGTAAGTATCGTACATAAAATTAAAAGTCTACTTTCATTTTCTATATATAAACTGTCATGAATCAGCTGGCGGTTCCGGTTGGCGGATCTAAGTTACTGGCAATTTTTAATGAAACTGACAATAAGCAATCTTTATTTAACTGATAAAACGTCGTCTCTGTATTATTCAATCAAAACTTGATTTTAAATGATACAAGAATAGATATGGGTTATCCCATATCCAAGATATTCGACTTTTAATTTATTCGAATTTTCATTGTGCTCAGATGATTTCTAATAAAAAAAACAAGTATTTACTGACAAAACGTCAGAGATACTCAAGCTGTAGAAAGTCATAATAAAAGTGCCATAAATATCCTAAAACGACAAAATATTTAGGCTACTGAGTTTCAACATCTTTTGTTGAATAAAATATGCATGTACTATGAAACAAACTGCATGTTCATATATAACGTTAGATGTAGATGCATGTAGTGACTATCACAAAGTCGCTAAAAATAGTTTTAATTTCACATAGAACATAGACTAAATATAATTAATCGTATAATTTTAAAAATGTATTTAACACCTCGTTCATTTTCAGGAATATTTAAACCAAATAGCATGTTACAGGCCTGTAGCAACGTTTTCAAAGTGAAGGGGGGGGGGGCTCCGAAAAAAATCCCGCGTACTATATGGGCCTGTGCTACATGTGTACCATATAACTTTCCAATGATATAATCTTCTGTAAAAAAAAAAAAAATCAAATCAAGTTCAAGCCGTTATGGATTATCAAAGATAGCCCATTTTTTTAAATAGCAAAACTATAGATCTATCAAGGATAGATTTTAATTTATTTTTTAATTTTGTGCTATTAAATTACTATCACCCATAGTATAGGCAGATGTTAAAGATGGTCAACATGTCACCTTTTAGAACGAATGAACTTGTAATCAATGAACTTGTCCAGAGATGCATTGACGGCCGTTGTTAAACGCAAAGGAAAGCGCGAGATCGGATGCGGCTATGGAGCATCACTGAATATTCCTTCGCCATAGGATAGAATCCGACATTTAACACTTAATATAGATTTTGAATATACAGATGTTTTGAAGATAAACTTAGTATATTTTCGTGTTTTTAAACTGAGTAGATCGATGACCTAGTCTCGTTTTAGATAACTCAGCCCCTCTAGCCCAATTTAGGGCTTGAGTAAAAAACCTGCACTTTTTATGAAACTGGTGTATAGTTCTAAACTTCTTCATTTCCGTAGCAAATACTGATACCCAGTCTACGTGATCTAAGCGTCTCTAGCAAACGGTGCACACACCTGTGCTTGCAAGACCAAATAGCCTTGGTCTACACACGTGCGAAGATCCTTTCAGACGAGCTCGGAACATTACGTTGCTTTGCAACGAGGTTACGATTGGAGGTGTTTAACCATAATAACCATTCCGTTATTCATTAAAAGAGAGAAAAAACACACAGTTAATGATTAACATATCCATTCAAAAGAAATTATAAGGCAATGAACGAACAATAATAATGACAGTAATATAACTGGTGAAAAGATTTATCATTATCAATCGAAGTATGACCTATATATTTTCGGGAAAAAGACTGAGGAGGCAGCGAGCGTAGGAATATGAAAACTTTTTATTTGCTTTTCCGGGGAAAAGATGATTTTCTTAAAATCTTTTTACGTTAATTTTGTTTTCTTTAACGTATTAAATATACATCATTATTCTTAACATTTGTTGTAATCTTGTATCTACTGATCATGAACGGAACTATTTTCGTCGGAGCAATTGTGTGAAGAGTACCTGACTTTAGTAATATATCTTGAATAGATAATATGCACTGATCGAATATATTAATAAAAGAAATAAGTCATGATAACCGATTAAAAGGGAAATGTTCCCTTGCAGAGTTGTCGTTCGTTTCTCTCTCAGACACCTCTGCGATGGGCTCACGTCAAGATTTTTGACATAACGTAAAAAACATAACATTCCAAGGATTATACTTAGTAAATATCTACCTTAAAATAGAAACATTAGTGCAGGCATTTAATTATAATGAATTCAAACAAACGCACTATTTCTCGTGCTTATCACTGTGATATACGCGAGCCAACGACAGAGGTGAATGTATTAAACGTGAGCCGAGAGTGATTATTTTCGTCATTCACCGACTTTAATATTGACGGAAACTTCTAGAACATCATATAGCATCGAGCCCGATGTGAAAAAGATAACCGAGGCGATTATAGCTGCATGAACATAAAAAGCTTTTGTTTCGTGTGAATGGTCATTGAAGTAATGGTAAATCATTGATAACACTATAAGTTGTGAATATACATTGTATTTATATATCGAAAGACTATTACATATACAGTGTGTAGTAGGTTTTCCTAATAAATTTATCGGTAAAGAAGATGGGTGAACATGACGAGCGAAAAGCCTATAGTGTGACAAACATGAAGGTGAAAAATTAAATCTCAATTATATCAAAATTTTCCTTGATATTTCATCTAACATATGTACTTTATGTAAAATCTCTACAAATTGCAAAAATCTCAAGAAGATTGAAATTATATGCTTATGAAGTATTGTACACACACTAAAGAGGGCAAAAAAGAGTCATTTTCTCATACTATCATTATTTTTCGATATGAGTGGGTCTTCGCTCCATTTTTTTGAAAGTTCGAAGTTTGCATAAAAATATACATTTTTTTGGTTTCCAAAAATATGGAGCAAGGACCCACTATACCTTAAAAATATACTTTTATGACATATCATTCGCATCTTTTCGAGAAATACTTGAAGTCCATTAAGTCAAGGGTCATATCACAAACATGATTTAAATGCCACTAGTCATCAGGACTTGTGTAGTCTAGTGGTTAGCGTGCTAGTCTCGAAAGAAAATGATACTCGGGATTTTTATTGCTAGGGTTCGAACCCCACGAATACCACATTATTTTTTTAATAAAAGAATAAATTTTGCCGAGAAAAAATTTTCCTCAGAAAAGTTTTTTTTATCATAATTTCATAAATTTCAATAATGAGAACTTTACTCTAAATATTGAATTCATAAATTGAACATGATTTTTATATATCTGAAGCTATAGGCTTTCTGCACGCTATGTTCGCCCATCTCCAAATTTATATATATATATTCCTCACTGAGAGCATCGTTGCAAGGAACCCGAAGTACAATTTGTACTTCGTAATAAGCTTGCTTACATGAAAAGAGAAAATGTTTGAATAGGGTATTATTCAAATACAATTAAAGCTGTAAAATGTTTGTGCTTTAATCAATACATTTCAGGGGTTTTTTTTATGAATACAGTCTTTTGAATCAAATACTCGGCCTATTCATAGGGGGTTTAAAGCTAATTTTTACTTTGTCTTGGTTTATAAATATGTACATGTATGTATCTTATTGATATGTAAAAAAAAAAAGAAGGTATAATACAACAATTTAGAGGATCCATAGAGTATAAAATGAACTGAAAGGTGAAGCTTTGTTGCCCAAAAGCAAGAAAAATAGGGTGATCAGGATCAACAAAATAATTAGTCTAGTATTCATTAACAGTTCATAAATTAGATTCTAATCTGTTCCCCATTTATCACTCTCACCAGACAATATATTAACAAACTATCAGTGCTTCTGTACTCTTTTAATTCCTTGTGGAAATCTCTTACATTGGCCTGAGTAAGACTCTTGGTTTTTGATGAACATTTAAGGTACTGGTATTCCATCCCTAATAGCCTCAGATTCAGTGAATTTGAATCCATAACAGATGTGTACGGGTGGAATACTCAGTATATTTAGACATAATCTCCATTTATTACTATTAGCATGTAAGAATGGAACGTGTCCTAATTTATGACTTGACATTTGTTGAAGAGTTATCTCCCTCTTTTTTTAAGTAATAAAAATCAATTTAAAAAAAATATACGGTAACAAAATTGTTTTCAATTGTCATTCCATTTCTATTGATTTAATGCATCTTTCCACCACAGTATTTATTGATATTCTTATTATTTGAATTTTTATTTAAAAAAAAAAATGGCTTGTCTCCATATACTTCAATGCAATTCCTATTAATTAAATACTGCTTAGTTAATTACATTTTTGAAACTTTCACTTAGTAAATCCTTTTCTACTGTAAAGTTCTTTGAATTAATATCAGAGTATTATATACGTGGTTGATATTTAAGGATAGAGAATTAGGTCCTATTAGGGATGGAAAACCTTAATAAGACAAGTCTACCTGATCATTAAAACTATGAAAGTACTTTTTGTATAGTACAATAAAAATTCTTGCATAATTCTCTTATTCTATGTACATTTTCAAGTACATTATTTACAGTGATTAATTATCACAAGTAAATGGCAAAGGGGAATATCTCCTCTCAGTAGAATACAAATTAATAGAGCCCTGGCCTGGACTAGAACACTTGACCAAATGGTCTTGATGTTCAAATATCTGGTAAAAATAGCCTTCCTTATTAAAACTTTTACTCTTTTTGCCCCTGATATGCCCAGGTGCAGAGAAGATTTTTAAAGCATTAATGCATTTTAACTATATAATAAATATAGAGCCCCGCCCTAACATCTGAACCTCTGATCCAGGGGTCATGAAATTCACAATTTTGGAAAAGGCATCCTTGCTTATCACAACCATGTATTTGTTTAAATAATACCCAGGAGAAGAGAAGATTTTCAAAGAAATAATGCACTTACTATATGATCTATATAGCCACGCCCTAGCACCAGAAC